TTTTTTTCTGAAATAGTTTTTCTGTGTTACAATCGTGGTTGTGGTTTTGCATCACCGATAAGGTTTCTGGTAGAAGTTTCACTTCTGGTATGGTGACGTCACTTCCTGTTGTTGACGCGTTTACCAATATTAATATATTTTGATATTGTACATGTACTACATGATATTAAAATGTCGATGAATGAGACATTTTTTCCATTCTTGACCACACTTGAATTCTTAGAGCTGATTCGCTCTTTTCGTTGCTCTATGACCTCAGCATAAAATGAATATCATTACGACTGAAGACTTGCACACCATGTCACGCACTGATCTTCACTTAACGTTGAAGATTTCACTTTTAATATACTCTATTGACGTTTTAACTAGAACAGGGTTTTCCTCAAGTTCCGCTATACAATGTTCCAAATACGAATTTGTAATGTAATCAAACGAGTTACAGAAAAGCTATACTTGGTATTGTAAAGTTCGGATGAAGTGTTATTATGATGAAGTATCAAGACCACTTTAGAAAGTTCCCAGTTATATTTTTAGTGATATATGGGACAAACCTACACGGCCCCCATATCCTCACTTAATCTTAAAAGTCCTTTTTTTGTTCAAGAGGGATATCAGGGCGATGTGTCAGGTGATACACATCACAGAAAAGACATTGATAGAGTGCAATGCTTTATTTTTTGTATTTCACAACTATTTGATGAAAGTGTATCTGTGTAAAAACCATGCTGAAACAACGTTGTGTTAGGTACTATACATGTACAGTCATATCAATAGGCGGTATCTTATAGCTACAACACATGGACATAAAAATGTGTAGTAACCGCAGCTACAACACGTGCGCGTGTAAATGTATAGTAACCACAGCTACAACACGTGCGCGTGTAAATGTGTAGTAACCGCAGCTACTACACATGTGCATGTAAATATGTGATAACCGAAGCTAAAACACATGTGCATGTAAATGTGTGGTGACCGCAACTACAACACACGTGCATGTAAATGTGTGGTGACCGCAGCTAAAACACATGTGCATGTAAATAAGTGATAACCGAAGCTAAAACACAGGTGCATGTAAATGTGTCGTGACTGCAGTTACTACACATGTGCATGTAAATATGTGATAACCGAAGCTAAACACGTGAGCATGTACATGTGTGGTAACCGCAGTTACAACACGTGTGAATGTGTAAATGTGGGGTAACCGCATTTACAACACATGGACATATAAATATGTGATAACCGAAGCTAAAACACGTGTGCATGTGCATGTGTGTTAACCGCAGCTACAACACGTGCATGTAAATGTGTGGTAACCGCAGCTACAACACGTGTGCATATAAATGTGTGGTGACCGCAGCTACAACACACGTGCATGTAAATGTGTGGTGTCTGCAGCTACTACACATGTGCATGTAAATATGTGATAACCGAAACTAAAACACGTGTGAATGTAAATGTGTGGTAACCGAAGCTACAACACGTGTGCATGAAAATGTTTGGTAACCGCAGTTACAACACGTGTGCATGTAAATGTGGGGTAACCGAAGCTACAACACGTATACATGAAAATGTGTGGTAACTGCAGCTACAACACGTGTGCATGTAAATGTGTGGTAATCGAAGCTACAACACGTGTGCATGAAAATGTTTGGTAACCGCAGCTACAACACGTGTGCATGTAAATGTGGGGTAACCGAAGCTACAACACGTGTGCATGAAAATGTGGTAACTGCAGCTACAACACGTGTGCATGTAAATGTGTGGTAACCGCAGCTACAACAAGTGTGAATGTAAATGTGTGGTAACCGCAGCTACAACACGTTCGGATGTAAATGTGTGGTACCGAAGCTCAAACACGTGTGCATGTAAATCTGTAGTAACCGCCGCCACGTACGAAAGCAACTGTACGTGCACACCTACGTTGGAGACATTCATAACTACTTGACTTGTGCTCTTACCTGTACGTGAGAGACCACCATTACCTGTACATGTATATAAATGATGTATTTGTGTGACTATCTATACCACTGTACGTGTACACGTATTTGTGTGACTATCTATACCACTGTACGTGTACACGTATTTGTGTGACTATCTACACCACTGTACGTGTACACGTATTTGTGTGACTATCTATACCACTGTACGTGTACATGTATTTGTGTGACTATCTACACCACTGTACGTGTACACGTATTTGTGTGACTATCTATACCACTGTACGTGTACACGTATTTGAGGGATTATTATAACCATTTACATGTATTTGAATGGTAACCGTACTGTACCTGTACATGTCTAAGACAGTTACCGTATCTATGAAACATTTGACCAAGTAGTGTTTTCAAATAAAATGTGACGTTATATATATATATATGTCACACAAATATGTGGGACTATCATAACCACTGTACGTGCACACGTATTTGTGTGACTATCTATACCACTGTACGTGTACACGTATTTGTGTGACTATCATAACCACTGTACGTGTACACGTATTTGTGTGACTATCATAACCACTGTACGTGTACACGTATTTGTGTGACTATCTATACCACTGTATGTGTACATGTATTTGTGTGACTATCTATACCACTGTACGTGTACACGTATTTGTGTGACTATCTATACCACTGTACGTGTACACCTATTTGTGTGACTATCTATACCACTGTATGTGTACACGTATTTGTGTGACTATCTATACCACTGTACGTGCACACGTATTTGTGTGACTATCATAACCACTGTACGTGTACACGTATTTGTGTGACCATCATAACCACTGTACGTGTACACGTATTTGTGTGACTATCTATACCACTGTACGTGCACACGTATTTGTGTGACTATCTATACCACTGTACGTGTACACGTATTTGTGTGACTATCTATACCACTGTACGTGCACATGTATTTGTGTGACTATCTATACCACTGTACGTGTACACGTATTTGTGTGACTATCTATACCACTGTATGTGTACATGTATTTGTGTGACTATCTATACCACTGTACGTGTACACGTATTTGTGTGACTATCTATTCCACTGTACGTGTACACGTATTTGTGTGACTATCTATACCACTGTACGTTTACGCGTATTTGTGCGACTATTATAACCATTTACATGTATTTGAATGGTAACAGTACTGTACCTGTACATGTATAAGACAGTTACCCTATCTATGAAACATTTGACCAAGTAGTGTTTTCAAATAAAATGTGACGTTATACTTGTCAAAACTTTTAATGTATTCAGAAAAAAATGTCTTAATAATGAATTTGATTTGCATATTATTATTCTGACATTCTTGCATTTTTAATTATTTGAAAAGAATGTAGGAACAATGAAGCTACACCAGAAAAAACAACTGTTTCATTATAGCCTTTGTTGAAATTATCATCTGTACTTTTCCGTGTGATTCAAAATGTGTGTTTTCGGCTATTTATGTAGTTTGTTATAGATTATGCAAATGCACTTTTTAACCCTTATGAAATTTACGCTTGTCTTTTTTTCATATGTTACGGTTTTCGGTCACGTTTACACCCTACAGAAAAAGTTCCACCCACCCCCTCCCCCTCACGAAAAAAGCCGACTATTATACATTGAAAAATACATATAGACATGAGTTGTCGCCCCTGTAACGGCACACGACACTATGATGTTATTTACGAGCTGCATGATGTGTGTGTCTGAGACTAATAAATAAAACTGAGGCGGGTCCGGAATTGTTTCATATATATCTTTCGGCGACATATATATATATATAAACGTTTGTCATTTTAAGTGTTCACAAGTTAAGTCATTAGAGAACTGTACATTTTAAGAAGAACAAGGAAGAGATTTTATGTTAATTAACTTATCAATTTGATTTTATTTTACAGAGAAGGCAGACTTGATATGATCACAATATAGAGATATCTTTATTCTTAGGATATTTGTCATTGCATATCAAAATTACGTTTTTCTGTGCTTGACTGGTCTGTTTCACACAAGTATATTTACAAGTGTATACGTCTACACGTAATATACCATATAAGTTCCGTATGATTGGCTTCAACACTCTCCGTCCATGAAACTTGTTTTAATGAGTCATGATATCATCACTTCTCGGTACACATGCAAAATAAGGACATTATAGATATATTTATATATACACATTTAGATACACATATGAAGTACACGTATTAAAATACGTTGTAATATTCAAAATAATGAAATACGCTGTATGAAATTTATACTGGTGCATTGAATAAGAATACATGTGCATTACACGTGTGTACACAGCACGTATTTTCGACATGTACACATGTGGATAGTAGGCACATACATATTGAAACCACGGTCATCATATGGCTATATGTACACCGTGAAAGTGTGAAATACGGGTGTATAATAAACACACATTTTGATACACATGCATAAGAGATTTCAGCACGTACATATGTAATGTGTTATCATAATTATTACCAATATTAAAGAGTATGTGTGTGTTCTATTTATCGGAGACGTATATATTTAAGAAATAGTCGAGTTCCTGTTAAATTAAATCTTTAAGTAGCTGATTCTAGTAATCAATATTCGCCACTTCTATTTAAGTAAACTTTGTACTATGATCGCACTGTTATAATAGTCATTGTGGTTCGTAAACAATGTGCACAGGTAACACCATTACCTGTGAAATAGTCATTGATCAAGTCAATCATGATAGTGGAATATGGCCTATCACAATTACAGCAAAAAGTAATACGTCTCCTAGTTCCAATGACAGATAATATTAATAGATGACACATTTTATTTACTTGGAGCGAGAAAAAATTATATAATGATTATCTGTTTAAACTCTGTCAACGACAAGTGGGAGCAGAGCCATATTTGGAGCTAGTGTGTGTATGACAAGCTATCGCAGCGAGCAGGAGTATAGGTGTATGAGATTTTACCGGCAGTTAGCCGAGTGTCGCTGTAGGGATGAACGTTGATATGAGAGAGGGAGACAAACATTTGTGAAATGGACACTTTATTTGTTTAGTAAGATCCTTTCACCTATATACCAACATACAAATTTACATTATAATCATTTCTTGGGATTTCAGTATTTGGAGCAATTTAAGTGAGACTTATTTCTACTGTTGAAAATATATTTGACATATATAATATTGTCTATTTATGTCGATCTACTGATATTTTTCCCACTACCTGGAAGTGAAAAATTGATTTTTCTTTTCTTTTTTTTTGGAGATGACATAAGGATCACAGAGGAATTTTCGCTTGTGAGTTTCTATGCCAGAGGCCAGTTATATAGAGAGAAAAAAGTTGTGAAGAGATCCAGAACCACACAAGTGCATTTTTGGAGACTTAACTATCTTTTATTCTAATTTATTGAAGACCCCCGGGAAGCCATGACGTCATCGTTATATATATGTGTTCTTTTCTTTCTGGTAAGTATATTTTTTATTCTATATTTATAAAAAAAGAAATGAATAACATAAACTTAGAGTTAGTATGAATGTATTTTTCAATGTCGATTTCACCGCCACCACCCATCCGCTTATACGGACTTTCTAACATTTTTGTAGGAATAATATGGATTTATTTTGTCGATTCAATGTGCGCGTGGGTGTTTTTATTTTCGAATAGTTTATTCAAATCATATCGGACTTCTCTTTTTAAATCGTCATAATTGTATTTCATGCATAATTATAGTACCTATTTGGTAATGACTACGAGTGCATTTGGACGTGTAAAGAGGCACAGCGAATATCTCCTATGACAATGCTATTGACGATAAGGCCTTAATTGATTTTGTAGGCGCCCAGTAAATATATCCTGTGCGCAGTGCTACCTGTGAAACGCCATCTATCTAGCTAGCTTAGTAGTCTGGTTCAATTAAGTGAATACAACTAATTTATTACGCATATGTGATATACTCTTATCTAAATTTTATCTTTTAATATTTGTTTTATGCGATAGAGCTACTGTAGTATGTTGTAGAGGTGAACTCTGACCCAGCCAGAGGCACAAGGCACATATGTATGTCAGTTATTCCTTCAGATCAGAACACCTGTTTTCTGTCGCCGTGTGAAAGATAAAACATTAACTGGATGTCTTCTGATGAATGACATTACGGGGAAAAAATAGGCACATACAAGATTTTTTTTAACTTGAAAACTTTAAATTTTAAGTATTGCATGCAAATTTAGGCAAATTAGTCTGCATCCTTAAGGCATGAATGTACTAAACGTTTATGTTTACTAGCTTTCTGTTATTTATGCGTGATAATCTGTAATCTAATCTCTTTTCACCGAACCCTTCCACATCCGGATAATCGGTTTATTAAATGTTTGATACTGTACTTATAACGATTTTAAAAATACGTTATATTTCTACAATTTGTACATGTTTTTTGAATTATAGGGGCTTAAAAACCTGTCAATAACGAAACCTCAGTAATTTGACAAGGCGTACGATACTTTGACAAGCTACCTGTTGATATCGGACACTCCGTAGTTTGACAAAGCCAACGATAATTTGACAAGCTACTGGTTGATATCGGACACTCCGTAGTTTGACAAAGCCTACGATACTTTGACAAGCTACCCGTGATATCGGACACTCCGTAGTTTGACAAGGCCTACGATACTTTGACAAGCTACCTGTTGATATCGAACACTCCGTAGTTTGACAAGGCCTACGATACTTTGACAAGCTACTTGTTGATATCGGACACTCCGTAGTTTGACAAGGCCTACGATACTTTGACAAGCTACCTGTTGATATCGAACACTCCGTAGTTTGACAAGGCCTACGATACTTTGACAAGCTACTTGTTGATATCGGACACTCCGTAGTTTGACAAGGCCTACGATACTTTGACAAGCTACCTGTTGATATCGGACACTCCGTAGTTTGACAAGGCCTACGATACTTTGACAAGCTACCTGTTGATATCGGAAACTCCGTAGTTTGACAATGCCTACGATTCTTTGACAAGCTACCTGTTGATATCGGACACTCCGTAGTTTGACAAGGCCTACGATACTTTGACAAGCTACCTGTTGATATCGGAAACTCCGTAGTTTGACAATGCCTACGATTCTTTGACAAGCTACCTGTTGATATCGAACACTCCGTAGTTTGACAAGGCCTACGATACTTTGACAAGCTACTTGTTGATATCGGACACTCCGTAGTTTGACAATGCCTACGATTCTTTGACAAGCTACCTATTGATATCGGACACTCCGTAGTTTGACAAGGCCTACGATACTTTGACAAGCTACCTGTTGATATCGGAAACTCCGTAGTTTGACAATGCCTACGATTCTTTGACAAGCTACCTGTTGATATCAGACACTCCGTATTTTGACAAGACCTACTTTGACAAGCTACCTGTTGATATCGGAAACTCCGTAGTCTGACAATGCCTACGATACTTTGACAAGCTACCTGTTGATATCGGACACTCCGTAGTTTGACAAAGACTGTTACCTGTAAATATCGATCTACCTGTTAAATGGACAGTATCATAATTGACCAATGAGATGAAGTGGGATGTTGGTATTTCTTGAAGCTCATTCGTTTGTCTACTATCAGCAATACCTTGAGCTTCACTCACGAAACTTTAGAGACTGCAATCAACAAGAATGTAGAGGCGGGGAAACGTTTTGTAGAGATTGCAACCCCTGGAATTTCGAGGATCCTGATGCAGAGCACTCTCTGTTTAATCTGTTCTAACGACATGCCACTATATCTTCGTGTTTGTCCATCTTTATGTAAAAGACGGTATAACTAAACGCACCTGTAAGTTTTTTTGAATTTATGAGCGTTGTCTTTGAAAGGTCACATGCCACCTTAACTGATTCGCTGAATTTTAAGATATCAACATCTCGAAGCAGCTGTATTTACTAAACATCATAAAACTTTCCGGAAATAGCCATTAGCACCAGACGTTTCGTAATACTAACGGTATGAATAGTTTGACCGTTTGCTGTGTAAAAGTACAATATTTAAACAAATTAATGACTTTTCATGGTACCGTGAGAAATTTAAATATTCACACGAAAAATAAACATTTCTGTACACGTGTCACGGAAATTGATTACATATTTATGTATGAATATTTTCGGTTGAATAAGTTTATTCAATTTCAATACATTGACTTGACGCATCAAAGTTTGTGTCCCTCGTAGAATTTCGTCACTTTTGTCCTGCATACGTCGGATCGGGATTCTATATCTGGTTGGAATGTAATGATATATTTCTGTCGACCTCTGAACTCTTTGCAGCTAAATAAATGAACATTTTTATACTCAGAGTGGATTAAAAGTACTCTTTAAAATACACGCACAGGGACCTGCGAATCAGTTACTATATTATATTAGAAAGTGATAAACGTTTAGGTTGAAATGCTGTTTAGTTAATGGAGTACTACAATAGGCACAGGGACCTGCGAACCAAACACGGTGATTTACTTGAGCTTGTCTCGATTTCTGAATCGGACATTAGATTAGAAATTATTATGCGATAACCAGTAGAAGATTAGAATATGACGTTTTGATAACTACATAGTCACCTTCATTAGAAAAATGACCAGTGTGCAGCGCACTAGCACTGGCGTATGAAGTGTACCATCTCGTTACACAATTTTCCTCACTTAGTGTACAAAGGATCATAGTTCAGACGAAAATAATGGTCGATTCCTTACCGTCCCGTACACTATGTACATCAAGGCTAGTTCACTACACACGGGTTATTTGTCTGGTGAAAGTGACTATGTAGTCATCGAAAAGTGACACCCAAATCGTCTACTGGTTGTCTACTCTACTCCCGAAAATGAATACGCCATTGTTTACATACCTGCAAGTTTAGGGTCTGATATTTTTCGAAAAAGAATGGTGTGGTAAAGGATTAAAAAAAATTGGAGGTTCAGAATATGTGTTTCTTTAAATGACAAATAATTTACCAACCACGTGTATGTGCTATTGGTTGCCTACCGATTTTAACCGGACATAACCGGAAAATTACGACCTTCAACGAATGGGGATAATTCATCGGATATCTGGTACTAAATCAGTCATCTACTCTTTAACGACGTGTCTTGATGTCTTACACTACAACTTTTCATCAGAGTTTGTCCCCAGAAACCGGAAAACAAAATCGATTATTCACCGATGTTAACCGAAAATATCCGAGAAATTTCGAATGATGACGAGTGCATCGAATCCTCTGCTTTATCTACTGTCAATACACGCGTTATATACACGCTATCTCCTAGACACTGGAGTATGTCAGTAGGTCAGGTGAGGGTGTGTTGGGCCATCGATGACGTAAAAGAAATCCCCAAGGTATTTTACTACGACGTATATCATGATTGATTAATGGTGACTCTGCCCCACCCCCGGGCTTAAACGCAGTTTAGATTTGTAGCGATGCAAGAACAATAGATGACAGTTATACAGTGCAGATGCCTACCTTTCTCCTGGTTAGTTCTCACAATGTATCACTCCAGTTGGACACGGATGATTTGATTGTAGAATCGAATAGGACAACCCATCGGAACTTCCAAGTATATTCATCTGTCACCTCTGATTTTTAGAGAGTCTCTGTTTCTACACCCACTCTCTTTCTAGAATTTAACTTTGTTCTTTTTCAAATATGCTGAGTTATTTATTCGTCAAAAACGGTTCTCTCTCTTTATCTCTACGCTCTCTAATGGATATTACAGACTAACAACATAATCCTTTATATAATGAGAAAACAACGGAGTCCAATATAAATTGAGAAAACAACGGAGTCCAATGTAAATTGAGAAAACAACGTTGTCCTTTATAAATTGAGAAAACAACGTTGTCGTTTATAAATTGAAAAAACACCGAAGTCCTTTTTAAATTGAAAAAAAAAACAACGTTGTCCTTTATAAATTGAGAAAACAACGTTGTCCTTTATAAATTGAGAAAACACCGAAGTCCAATGTAAATTGAGAAAACAACGTTGTCCTTTATAAATTGAGAAAACAACGTTGTCCTTTATAAATTGAGAAAACAACGTTGTCATTTATAAATTGAGAAAACACCGAAGTCCTTTATAAATTGAAAAAAATAACGTTGTCCTTTATAAATTGAGAAAACACCGAAGTCCCATATAAATTGAGAAAACACCGAAGTCCTATATAAATTGAGAAAACAACCTTGTCCTTTATAAATTGAGAAAACAACGTTGTCCTTTATAAATTGAGAAAACAACGTTGTCGTTTATAAATTGAAAAAACACCGAAGTCCTTTTTAAATTGAAAAAAAAAACAACGTTGTCCTTTATAAATTGAGAAAACAACGTTGTCCTTTATAAATTGAGAAAACACCGAAGTCCAATGTAAATTGAGAAAACAACGTTGTCCTTTATAAATTGAGAAAACAACGTTGTCCTTTATAAATTGAGAAAA